GTTCAGCCCCCATACCACCAAAAAAACAAAACCAAACAAGAAAAGGAAATAAAAGGAATACTTGCTGGGAAGGGAGAAATAAAACTGTCTTTGCACATGTCATGATTATCTATGTGGAACATCAAAAAGAGCAATTAAGATAAGGCTGAAAGACACACGGGTACTACAGGAAAGTCCATTCATTTTCCTCTATACCAGTAATTTAAAATAATTCAAATTTAAAATAAAAATGTAACTATCAAACCAGGACCCTACCTCAAAACAACAACAAAAAAAGCAATTATCACTTCATCATTTACATGAGGCCTCCAAAACTTAAGTACATAGGTATAAGTTTAACAAGTTACATATGTGAACTATATGAAGAATATTACAAAGAGTTAAATAAATGGAGAGGGATGTGAAGAGTCTATGTCCACAGCTAGATTGTCAGTTCTTCTCTATGCATATACAGGTTCAATAAAAACTCAACAAGCTCTTTTGTCATTATCAATAAACTGACTCCGCGAAGGCAAACACCCGGGAATCGTTGGCCCAGTAACAAAGGGGAAGACGTGGTGGGCTCGGCTACACCCCGGCACCTGCGGGCTGAGGCGCAAGGATCACCCTCCGTGTGAGGCCCGTGTGGGCTACGCTGCGAGTCCAACGTGAGCTGCATTTGAAATCCAGTCTCAAAAAACACAAAATCACCAAAATAAATCACTAAATACAGGGAGGTAGAGGACGGAGGCCACCTGACTTCAGTGTGCTGCTGCAAGACACAAGTGCTGATAAAGGACAGATGGGAATACAAAGCCCAGAAACAACCAGCTGAGTGTTTGTTCTGCACTGGGGGGATCCCTGCGCACTCAGGCTGGGGTGGAGCCCAGACTCCTCCCGCCGCAGGCTTCCGCAGGCAGGGCTTCCAGGTGAGCACCACCACAGCTACTGCATCGGCAAACCACAGAGCAAGCTTCTCGCTAGCATCCCAACCACCTGCGAGGTGAGGTGGAAGGACTGTCCGCTCACGGCTGGCCTGGACAGATAAATTAGCAAGATCTTAGCTCTTCTTCTCTCTCCCCCTTCGGTACTAGGGGGGAACCTGAGCGACGTCTCCAGCATTATCGGGGTTTTTCTTGTTGTTGTCTGTTTGTTTGATAGGAGATCTGAACTGCCCACACGGCCCTTGCGTGTTATCCTCCCCTGAAGATCTGGGCAGGGCCACCATGCTGCGGTTTGCAAAACACATAGCTGATAAAGGTCCTGAACTGAAATACAAAAGAACTCTTGAGAGTGACTGTAATTCAAAGCTAGGGTTCTTGGCTGGCACTCCTGGGTTCAATTCTCAGCATTACAAGAGCTGTATGTGTAGTGGGGAGAGCTGTAAATTCAACAGTCAGAATGCAAAGCATTCAATTAAAAAGTGGGCTGGTGCACACTTGTAATCCCAGCACTCAGAAGGCTGAGGCAGGAGAATCAGGAGGCTGAGGCAAGAGGATTACTGCAAATTCAAGGCCAACCTGGGCTATGTAGTGAGTTCAAGGACAGCCTGAATTACAGAGACTTTGTCTAAAACAAACAAACAAACCTGAAAAGTGGGCTAAAATCCTTGCCGGACAACTCACCATCAAAGACGATATATGGCTAGCAAATAAGCACACAGAAATACCCTCCACGTCGTATGTCGTCAGGGACAACGGGACGCCACTGCACACCTGTTAGATGGACCAGACTTCAGGAACTGCCAAGAACACCAAAGACAGCGAAGACGTGCAGCAACAGTGCTGTCATGTGTCACCAACGCAGCACAAAGCAACAGAGCCACTGCAGAAGCGGCTGGCAGTTTCTATAAACACACTCTACCTTGTAACCAGCAACTGCCTGTTTGCTATTTGTTGCAATCTGGGTTTACAAGGGAAAGAATTTAATACAGAACATACAATATACAGATTGTAAATAATTTATAGGATTCACTCAGAGTCAAGTGCAAGAGTGCGAAAGAGCTGTCCACTAGAGATCCCAAGAATCCAGCCGAGGACCTGGATTCCACAGCAGCGACCTCCACAAGTTCAGCTGGAGGCTGAGAGCCCACCACAATGTCTCATGCAAGTCTGTGTCTAGGATCTGCGCTGGGAAGGCAAAAGGGTCAGCAGTGGCAGCTACAAAGTCTGTGCCAGCAGGCTGAAGGATCAGTGCCAGAAGCTGAGGGATCTGCACTGGAGCCAGGAAGCACGCTCAAGATAAGGACCAGAGCTCCCCCAAAAAGAACAGCCGTCCTTAAGGACAATGAGGTTCCGAGCTCCTCGGATGACGGGAACAGCTGAGTTCACATCAGGAAAACGGCATGGCATGCTTCTGCAGGAGAACCTGCAGCACCATCCTCCTGTCCGAGTCCAGGCCTCCTTTTGTGCTGCTGGCGACGATGCTCAGGTGGGCCTCCACACCCAGAACCACACTGTGTCAGTTCAGCTGCACGTTCCAAGCTGACCACTAGTTAATCCACCACACTATTTACCCAGAGGGGCTGAAAACTCACTTCCACACAGATACGTATACACAGATGTTTATAGCAGCCTATACTCGTAATTGCCAAAACCAGAAGTGCTGCAAATGTCGTTAGGAGGTGACTTCATGCTACACAGCCGGACCGCGCGCAATTCAGCACTGAAGGGAAACAAGCCAGCCGGTCATGAAAAATGATGGAGGACATATAAATGTGTATCATTACGGCAATCTGAGTAGGATAGAAACCCCGATTCTAACTGTAGGTGATTCTGGAAAACTGTAAAGACAGTCAACAGATGAGCGGAAGCGGGGTCCTTAGGGGAGGGAAGCTGCGCTGTGTGACACTGGGAATGGCAGGCTGGGGTCACTCGACGTTTGCCCACTACATAAGACCAAAAGTGAGGGGCAGAGGATACAGCTCAGTGGCACAGCGCCTGCCTGACAAGCTTGTGGCCCTGAGTTCGATTCCCAGCACCAGAAAAAAGAGAGAGACCATGCGTGAACCCTGCGGAAATGACGGAGTGAGGCAGTAATGTGTGGATGCCGATTTCATCCACTGGAACTCGGGGAGGGATGCTGGTAACCGGGAGGTGGGCACGGGAGGGACAGGAAGTGGATGGGAAATCTTTCCCCGTCACTGGATTCTACTGTACACCTAAACTGCTCTAAAGAACAGCGTCTTCAGACAGGAAGCAGACAGCAGCTGAGCTGGGGAGTGGGGAGCACTGCTAAGGTGCTGAGTTTCTCCAGGGGTATGAAAATTGCTCTTAAATTGCTTGTGGGAGCAAATCACAAATTCTGTAAATACTCTGAAAACTGCCAAGCTACACAAAACGTAAACTGGTGAAATGTACAGTGTGTGAATTACATCTCAATGTAGGTCATTTGAAAAAACCTAAATACGTGAATTAATAAGCTTCAAGAGCCTTACAACAGGAAGATTTGAAGTTTCAGGCCAGCTTCAAACTGGCAATTTAGAGAGACTTTATCTCAAAATGAAAATAAAAAGGCCTGGGGGGTAGCCCAGTGGTAGAGCACCTGCCTTGCGTGTGTGAGGTCCTGCGTTCAATCCCAAGAACAGCATAAATAAATAAAGATAAAATAAATACAGTAATGTGTGCCTCAGTGCTCTCTGATATACAGCACAAGTTCCATGTAATATAAATATGTATACTGCAATCCTGGCTAAAATATTTATTTCATCATTATTGCAATTTTTTTTAAAAAGCAAAGTTTTTATTTATTGAAGTCCCAAAAATGCACAAATTTTCAATTTATTTGGATCTGCCCTGATATCCAATAAAGAACAAAACAACTCTAGAGTAAAAATAAAATTTTTTAAAACGGGCTCAGTAGAGGGGGCTGGGGATTTAGCTCAGCAGCATAAGCACCTGCCTTGTAAGCAGGCAGTCATGAGTTCGATCCCTGGTACCAATTAAAAAAAAAAAAAAAAGGAAAAAAAGACCAAAAAACAAAAAAACGGGTTCAGTGGGGCTGGGGATTTATCTCAGAGCATAAGCACCTGCCTGGCAAGCACATGTTCAATCCCCGGTACCAAAAAAATAAATAAATAAAAGGGCTCAGTGACACAGCGCCTACCTAGCAAGTGTGAGGTCATCAGTTTAAATCTCAATACCCCCAAAAAAAGAAAAAAGAATCCTATATAATACCCTACAGTGCTGAAAACTTGAGCTGGTTTTTTTTTTTTTTGGGGGGGGGGGCTTTTGCACTGAGTTGTACCCCCAGCTCTTTTGGGGTCTTGCTAAATTGCCAATGCAATCCTCCCAAGAGTTCTAGGATTACTACAGACATCTAAAACTTGAGCCTCACAAAGAACGAGTGGCTGGGACAAGAGGCGAGCAGAGGACACACTCCGAGCAGGCCTGGGAAACGCTTACTTTGAAAGTTAAAGGTGAAGCACCACAGCAGAGGCATCCGAGGTCACACATCTGCCTTGCGCGCCCCCGTCCCCTCAAAGGGGTCTCCACTGGCTCGTGAGACACCTCCTCTCCCACCCAAACCCAGCTGCGGCCAAGGGCCTGGGGCTGATTCCCTTTCCTATGTATCCCATCAGCTAGGTTCAAGACAACCACCAAGCAATCCATAAACTAACATGTTTGCAAATAGGTAACTTACAGGATAATAGGAACATAATGAGAACCCCAGCTTTACAGATTCACTGAAGCGTTCTCCAGGGAATGAGGCCCCCTAAGAGACTCAAAGGAAAGACACGCAGGACACTGCAATTACTGGGAAGCAGCAGAAGGCAGGATCAGCCCCTTGCCATCCCCGTCCCCGGCAGAGCACCCGAGAGGAGCAGCTCAAAGCAGCTTCCCTTCCCCAGAACAGAATCAGAGGGAAGCAGAGATTTCCTGGGAGACATCTCCAGGAGACTGAAGCCAGGCAGAGGGCAGTTCCGATGACCCCTCCTCACACGGAGGGGTAGGCACCGAGCAGGCCTGCGTCCTCGGAGGCCTCCACAGGCGCGGCAGACAGGGAAGAGGCTGGGCCCTCACCTCGGGTATCAGCCGCCTCCTCTTCACACTGGTGACACAGTCCAGCTGGCTGTCGCTGCCCAGCTGCCGGCGTTTGCTGGACACCTGGAGGGCGCTGAAGACGCTGTCCAGAGGGTGCTTCTCCGCGGTCCTGGAGCTCAGTGAGCAGTCCAGAGCAGCATCCTCACTCTCCGTCTCCACCTTCACAGTGTTGTTTTTTAGAACTGCAGCAGAGAAGAAATAGGGCTCAGTGGGAACAATGGGCCATGCTCCACCGAGACCAGGAGGCGTTTGTGGGCCACCCTCCAGCCATGACCCCAGAGGCTAAGGTCTCACCACACAACCCTGTGCTTTCCAGCCATGTGGTCCTTTTTTTTCCTGGTATATTTTTGAGACAAAGTCTCCCTATGCCATCAGGCTGGCATTGAGCTCACTTTGTAGTCCCAGCTGGTCTCGAACTCACAACAACCCTCCTGCCTCAGCCTTCAGAGTGCTAGGATAACACTGCTGCGATCTGGTTCCAGCCATGTGAACTTTGACTGACTGCACTAGTGCAACTCGATGGAACCAGTTCAAAACTCAAAAACTGGTTTAAAATCTGGGCCTGGCAGCGCATGCCTATAATCCCAGCAGCACAAGAGGCTGAGGCCAGCCTGGGACACAAAGTGAGTTCAAGGTCAGTCTGAACTGCATAACAAAACCCTGTCTCAACCCAGGTGGTGGTGCAGCCTGCAATCCCAGCACTCCCAGCGCTTGCTCAGAAGGCTGAGGGAGGAGGATTTTGGGGAGTTCAAGACTGGCCGGGGCTACAAAGTGAGCTCAAGGCCAACCTGAACTGCAAAGTGAGATCCTGTCTCAAACACACACACACACACACAAGGTGGTGTAAGTCTTTTGTGGAATTGCAAGAGACAGAGGAAGAAAACCAAATACTATCTTTTTGGTGCTACTAAAACGTAACTCTGGGTTGGGTGTAGTGGCACACAACTTAATCCAGTACCGTGGAAGGCTGAGGTGGGAGGACTACCAACTCAAGCCCAATCTTGGTGATTTATTAGCAATTTAGCAACACCCGACACCTGTCTCAAAAATGAAAACAGGGCTGGGATATGCTCAGGGCAGAGGTCCTGGGTTTAATCCACAATACTGCACAAGTAGTCACTGCAAACCTCTCGTGAGATTCTTGTAACAGGTGTGCGGCGAGGGGGACGCAAACAAAGGCCAAGGACACTTCCCCTTACTGTTTATATTTTTGAGCTGTGTGAATTATATGGCCTACTCAAAATAGTGAATTGAAAACTTTTACCTTCTTCTACATCTTCACTGAATTCAGTTGAGTTCATCTTCTATTCCACTAAACAAAAAGACAAAGAAAAGTCTTCATTTATTGCCTGATTTTTCCCCCTTTTTCCCCTACCCAGAGAAATCCCTGACCCGAAACCCCGGCTCTGGGGACAGGAGGCTGAAGGCTCCACGGCGCTGAGGATGTGTTCTGGGCCAAGGCCACAGATGCAGGAGGGACAGCCACTGCTCTGGGCTGGTGCAGGGCCCTTCGTGGGGACAGAAGGCTCTTACTGGCCAGGAAAACACTCTGAGCAAATCGAGACTTAGAAAAGCCATCAGATCATACGATCCCCTTTTGGTCTTTGCTTATAAGTCTCAAGCATGAAGTGAAAGGCTAAAGGAGAAAGCAGCTGTGAATTCCAGTAAACTAAGCTGAGGCCTTAATACCCCCGGCGGCCGGAGACCTGTGCCACCCTGACAGGGCCACCAACGACTGGGGATGTGGCAGAGCCACCCGCAGGGCACACCTGGCTTCAGCCTCAGCCTAGGAACAGGAACGTGAGGCCCTGCATTAGTAACGGTATGATACTGATCGTATGCTGCCGTGATGCTATTCTGGACTTACGGACTAGATAAAACACTTCATCAAAACAAACTTCACCCATTCTTTAAGTCTGGCTGCTAGACAATTTAAACTATCTGTGGGGTGTGGTTATATTTTTACTGGGTAGCACTAAGCGAAAAGGAGAGACAGGGGCACCACCCAGTCACATCCCAACAGACCCGGGAGGACGAGGCAGGACGACTGCAGGGCACTGTCGCAGGAGAGCCAGCCTTGCCTGCTACCTCCGCAGCCCAGATGGGACCGGCACCACCGTCACTACCACAGCTAAGCATGATGCAACCCTGCATGATGCCGCTGATGGCTGTGGTGCCCACAGCTGACTTGGGGACTACGCACACAGAGTTCTCACTTTGTTAGTGAGTGCAGGAAAAGGACCGTGGACCATGTCTGCGACACTTCTGTCAGAGGGATGCCGGCTGCAACACGCAGTGAACATCCAAGGCCAGCCACGGGACTGGGAGGGTTCAACACGCCACCTTCCGGTCAGAGGGCTGGACGAGGTGGTGCAGGAGATCTCACACACAGCAATGATTTTAAAATCCACTATGCGTGCTAAGAGCTCCCCAGCATTTCTACCGAGTACTGTTCCCGGACCACCCCAACTCTAAGACAGGTGCAGTTCTTTCCATTCTTGAATTACAACACTACCTTTCAGAGCGCTAAGAGAAAATAGGACTTGAAATTAAAAATAATTCCTGCTTACAAAGGTATCTAATGTCTGAAAGACACTCAAAGTACAGTGTTATTGAAGGAAAGAAAACAGTCAACTTCAAGGCTCCATACACTGGTTTATCAGGCAAAGTTCAGCAACTCTTCCATTGTATTTCAAGAAATAAAGCTCGCCTGTGCGTTGGGTATGCCTGAGGGCGCAGGGGAGCTGGCCAGCCAAGCTCAAAGTCCGGCCCAGTGCCGTTCCAGCCCAGCCAGGGGCCAGCCAGTGCCCTCAGAAGCCGCCACACAATCACCTGTGGATCGCCTCCCAACACAGGCAAGAGAAGCAGAAAGGGTGCGGCCACCAGAGGCAGGCTCGGCACACGGCTACACTCCTGTGATTACAAACGGAAGCGGGAGGCACGGCGGACGATCACGTAAGGGAAAAGGTGACGGACGGCGAACAAACACTCCGAAGATCTGGCTGAGCAGGAAAGTGACAAAACAGTGTGCAGGCTAGGGCCAGAGTTCAGCTCAGCCGCACAGGCGCAGGTCGTGAGTTCAAGCCCGGTACCAAAACAAAACGACAGAGAACGTGCAAGCTGGGAGACTGAGGAGTCTGCCACGAGTGTGAGGCCAGCCTGGGTTACATGGCAAAGATCCTATTTCCAAACAATAAAAACCAATTCATCAATAAATAAGAGGGCAAGCAAACACTACCAGGAAAGGAAATGCAAAGTCAAGGGTGGCGGTGTACACCTGTTATCCCAGCACTGTGGGGAGCTGAGGCAGGAGGACTGCAAATGTAAGCCCAGTCTGGGCAATTTATTAACTTGGCAAGACCCCGTCTCCCATCTCAGAAGTGAAAAGTTTAAAAAAAAGGAGTGAGGATGTAGCTCAGTGTGAAGACCCTCCCTGGGTTTAATCTCCACCAAAAAAGAAAAAAGGTTGGATGAAACAGCACAGCACAGGGGCTGGGGATTTAGCTCAGCGGCATAAGCGCCTGCCTTGCAAGCACGCAGTCATGAGTTCGATCCCTGGTACTGATAAAAACGAAAAAGACCAAAAAAAAAAAAGGCACAGCACAGAGCAGTAGAGGCACAAAGCAAGGACCTGCCATTTATCTTTCAAGAAACTCCCCACCCATGTTCCCCTGGTGCCCATCCTAAGGAGCTGCGTGGAGCAACCATCCAGGACACTCCTAAGGCAAGTTAAGCCCCAGAAGGGACAGCGGGAGGGCATGCAGCCCCTGCTCATAGGGCAGAGGATGCTGTCCGGCAGCCCAGAGGCTTGGGGTGAGGAGGGGGAGGGCCAGCTGCCTGCACAACCTTGAAGGGCACTTGAAGTTCTGCAGATTAGGGACAGATGCAGGGAAGCAAGCGTGGGCCCTCTAGATCGCCAACCACACAGGGGCAGCGCTAAACTGGACGAAGGTCCACTCCACACTGTGGCCCACAGCATGCGTGCAGAGGACCCGGCTCCTCTGCGCACTCCTCACCTCACTGTGAGCTACCTGAATCCCAGCGTCACCAAGAAAGAAACCCAGGACAGGCCACCGGCTCAGTGTCACGCAGTGACTGAGGCGGAATCAGGGTTGAAAGCAAGTCTGTCTCAACCTCCTGGCAGCCAGCCCGAAGAGGAAGAGCAGTAGCCTGCTTCTGCGGGTGCTTTCAATGGCCCAGCCCGGCTCCAGACTGAGGGCTCTGTCCAGCAGCAGCCAGAACCAACCCAAGCTCCTTTCATCGAGAAGCTACCTGGAAACCCAGCCTGCCTGGGGCCTGGAAAGAGACTCTGCCCTGCCGTGCACAGAAGTTTCTGCTCAGGGACGTGCAGGTCACTCCCTGCATCCCCAAGCCAACTAGTGACAGCTCAGCAACAAGTCACGGCACAGGAAAGAGAAAGGAGATGGGTATCACGGTGCTACCTCCATTTCCTGGTCATCTGTTCGGTGGACGGTCACGAACTCTGGTCTTCGTGGGTGGACACGAGCAGCCGGATGCCGAGCATGCCACAGACATTCCTTCCCATTGTGTAACTGCAGGTTAGGAGGAGCCACGCGGCCACCACGTCTGTCCTGACAGCGTCCGGATGCTGCTGTGCCTGTGCCCTCAACCTGCTGGCCGCGTGGACCTCTTTCAGTGTGCCCGACCTTCGATTATCTCCCCTCCCACCACAAACCTCAAGCCGCGGCCGACCTGCACGCACACTGCAGCCCCCAAAATCAGCTTGCTCCCCCAAAGCAGCTGTCCAGCCACTGGCTACTGTCTTGAGGCCGCATAAATAAGCCTTATGCTTACTTGCGAATGCTAGAAACCTCTGCGCTCAGAACTGGGACACGCGGATGGCTAACATCTTACAGCAGCTCACACTACACAGTAAGTCCAAGGGCAGCCCGGAACACAGTGAGACCTTGCCTCAAAAATACAAAGCAGCTGGGCCTGGTGGGCACGCCTGGAATCCCAGCACTCGGGAGGCTGAGGCAGGAAGGTCGCCGTCACGTTCGAGGCCAGCCTGGATACGCAGAGTTCAAGGTCAGCATGAACTACAGAGTGACCCTGTCTCAGAACAAGTAAACAAGTCTTGCCAGAGATCTCTCCACCAGTGGTTCTCAACCAGGGCAGTGAGGAGCCGCTTAAGTGGAGTGCACTCCCTGCCTGCACCTGCGCAGGCCGGCGGCCCAAGCTGGCCTGAGTGGGAGACACCGCGCCTGGGGCTCGATCTGGGGGCGGGGGGCAGCAGCTCGCCTGCACAAGGCCCCGAGATGGAAACATTCCCACACTGCCCTTTCTTCCCTCTCACTCTGCTGTGCGGGGAGCTGTCCAGGGGCCACGCACTGGGCCATCGTGGAGGCAGCAGGGAAGGTCTGCTTTACCCCTGTCCCGATGCCAGACACCAACCCTGGCCTGTGCACAGCAGGGGACTGCACACTACATCCAGCCGAGCCAGCCCTCAGCCGCCTTCCAGTAAGGCAGGCACTAACGGGCTTTGCAAAAGTGTCAACAGTGTTGCTCATTTTATTAGGTTTTTAAAAAGTTTAGCTACGTGTCACAAAAATGTTATTCCATATCCTTGTAATGTATTTATTCTTGTTAGTACTGGTCATTTAAAAATAAGTAAATATTTAAATTTTCCCAGCTTTACTATGTTTACTTTAACATCCTAAGTATGGACAGATATTACCCACAAAGGAGCAAGCCCTGGGGTCACGGATAACTTTAAAGTCTAAAGAGCTCTTGAGTCTACCAGGTTAGATGACCCTACTTTTGCCTCTTTTTAAGTGAAATTGACAGACTGATGAGCTGTGTCCGTCATTGCTAGCTTTATACCGAGTCCCCCACAACAGATCCTGAGTCGACGGCCTGGAGGCAAGGTGGGGGGCAGGCTGGCTCCCTTCTGCTGAGGTGTCAGGCAGTATGGGGTGCCCACGCTCAACCTGGGGCGCCAGAGGGGACAGCGGCCCGCACCCCGCATGCGCAGCCAGCACCGCGCTTACAGCGATGGACTGGGCACCCGAGGCGCAGGTGGAAAGCAGGGAGGAGCCTCCACGCACTTTCCCTTCGGCAAGTGCCACGCGAGGTCCGGGCCTGCCCTGGGCAAGGGCGCTATCCCTGTGCGGTGGCCACGGGCCAGGCAGGGGCAGAGGGGGGTCCTACAGGAATAAGCCCAAACCCGGCAGCCGCGGCAAGGGCCGAAGGTGGGAGAGAAAAGCAGCAGTGAAGGCAGAGTGGCCAGAAGCCCAAGGCCAGGGCCAGCTCAGGACCGCCACTCACCCCGGCAAACACAGGCTGCATCCT